GTGGTTGAATCGTACTGTCTGGATCAATTTCTGAGTATAACGGTATGTCAAGGTTCAAGTCGTTTGACATCTCACCTTCAAGAGTGTTAATGACATAACCGCTTGAACAATGCTCCGTGTGAACCGAAGCTGACTCAGTGCAATATGGAACCGATGTAAAATCGGTTGGTTGTAGTGGTTGTTGCAATGGATTTGTTGACATTGGTTGCATTTCGGAATACGTATGAAAAATTCTATTTCTTGCCGGCCCTTTCATACCAAATCCGTTGCAGTGCTTCCACGACTGACTTGAAGATGTTAGCAGTGGTGATAAATTTCCATTGATATTGGTTCCGGTTTCGGTATCCTTTCTTACTGCTTCTTGGTACCTTATTGCGTCATTGCTTAATGCAATTTGCGACGAATTAGGTAAAACTGACATTCCTACAGTTGGCATTGCGACAGATGCAGATGTGGAAGTAGAAATAGCCGCTGGTTGTGATTGTTGCAATGGACTTGGTGATAAAAGTTGCATTCCGGAATATGTTTGAAAAACTTCACTTCTTGTTGATCGTTTTACACCGGATCCGTTGTATTGTTCCGATGATTGATGTTCGCTATCATTTCGTCGTTTCAAACATCGAATTGCTAGCGATGTTCTCAAAGATGTCATCAATGGTGGTGAATTTTCATTTGTATTAGTTACAATTTCGGCGTTCTCTTCTATTGCTTCTTTGTGCCGCATTGCGTCATCACTTAGTGCGACTTGCGACGAAACAGGTAAAATTAGCTCTTCCATAACTGGCAGTACGATGGATGAAGATGTGGACGTCAAAATAGCTGGATTCTGATGTTGAGATTCGTTCGAATTCTGCCAATCAAATTGATATGACATTTTTGATCTACTTGGCAAGAGATATTGTGCACACTGTGCAGAGAATCTTTAGTAATATCACTTTTCCCAGGCGAAATTACTATGTGCTACGAATTGAGAGACTGAACATCACAAAGAGTTTTTAAGATGACCAATGGTCAATAAAGAAGTTCGTGTGAGGAGCGGGAGGGTCTCATAATTTTGACATTTGAACAATTAATTAACTATCGATGGCAACACAACAACAACGAACCAACAGGAATGTTTGCATGTACTTCGATATTCCTTTTTTCATCATTCAAACCATTAGATAGAAATTCTTCCATTTAGCATATCATTTTCCAAATTACCGTCTTTGAAATTCGATCATTTAAATGAAAATAGAAATTAGAAGTCTTACACTGATTATTATCCTAGGTTAATTTTACTGCTAACCTGAAAATTCTAAGAGGCGGAATATCTATTACATAGCACTGAACTGTAAATGGTTTCATTGTCGACTTATCCATAATAAATACGTGTAATCTCGTTCTCATCACAAACACGATATTAACTATGATCCTTGAATCTCGATGTAGACGTAGTAGTAAGCACGTACAATTTCATTCTTACAGTGAATGTATACGTCTCCGTACAATCAAACTGATCAATTTGATTTGGTTTGATAATTCTTTTAGAAGCTGAAATGAAATGAAAGATATAATGGCGAAATAAAAATTTGAAAGATTGAGAATTGTCAATAAAAGACAGTAATATCGATTCGTTACAACGAATATATTTTGTAATTTTATAAAACAAATGACGAAAAGCAAATAAACCTTTCATTTTCTAAACAAAAAAAATAAATAAATCGCTGAAGCTCACAAAATACTTATTTTTTGCAATGCTTTCTTAAACTTTTCGAATTAGTTTCAATGAATCGTAATTATGAATAAATCACAAAATTACGGCATATTAATAACTCTATTAAATATCAATAATTGCATTTACGGAAAATTAGCATATTTTCCTTCTAAAGTTTCTAAAACTTGCTCCAAATTTAAGTTAATGGGTTGTTTTACCTTATTTAATGCTTTTTAATTTGTTTAAAGATGATACCGAGATTTTTTGCACGTGTCAGTTTCATTTATACGATGATCTCGAATTTGCCATCGATAGTTTATTATGGAAAAGGATTTACGCAAAGAAGGAAGTTGCTGAAATCGACAAAGTAGCAAATTTGTAACTGTAATATCAACCATAGAGAAATTCATCAATAATGAAGTTGATTAGGTACCAAATTTGTTACCGTAATATCAACTACCATTAGAAATTCGTTATCAATAAAATCGATAAGGTAACAAATTTGTAACCATAAAATCGATTACTGAGAAGTTCGTTATGAAATCGATAAAGAACCAAATTTGTGACTGTAATATCAACTACGAGACGAAGGTAGCAAATGTTTTGTTTTTAGAGATATCAATGAGAAATTTTAAATGCTAAAGATAGACTTCATTAAATTCGAAATAGCAGAAATTGCACTCAATTGAGGTTTTATCAATTC